TAGCTAACATTTTACCCCTCTCTCTCTCTCACTTTTGGATGACAAACTCTCCAAATCCAAAAGGTGTGTTTGTTTTGTACTACCTTCGTCCCACTTAATTTATCTCATACTTTAATTTTTGTTCAGCCCACAATTTATTTTTTTATTTTTTGAAAATATAATTATACACTTTAATCACATTTTAAAATTTATAATTATTTTATTTTAATTAAACTATTTAGTCATTTTAATCTTAATTTATAATTATTTTTATTAAATCATAATTGTTTTCAGTAATAGACTTCTTAATTACTTACTAATTAGACAATAATTGAACTCTATGCTTAAGTTAAATAGAACAATTTAGCTGGGACACGGAGAAAATATTTTGATTTGACAGATATTTTTTTTTTATGGGGAGTGTGAAGAATTATGATCTAATTTAAAAATAAAATGTGTGTAATATATTAATTTTCGTAAAAAAAATGTGTTAAAAAATTTTGGTTACCTATACTGTGAACATGAATTTATAAAAAAATATTCGAAGTTAATATGTTTAAACAAAAATTATTTAATTATTTAAAATAAAGAATATGTATGAAATGTTTTTTTTTAGAAAAAAAAAAATATAGAATGAAGTAGAGTGAAATTAAAATTTAGATAAAAAAAACAATTGAAGAAATTAAAATATTGGATCGGGAGATGGTCTAACTTCTAACTTTAGAATGAACATATATCATTTAAAAAAATAGAAAAATAGAATATATATTTAAGTATTAAAAAAATTATATCTCAGCCATATATACATCATTATGTTCCATTTAATATTATCTTTTCATTTAAACATCATACTAGTTTTATTTATATATACTTCATATGTCTTATTTCAATTGATACAATTTTTCAGTTTTATCTATTTCACTTTAATTGATTTATTTTAATTTTGGGTAAAATTTACTAAATTAAAACATATTTAACAAATATAAATCAACTTAATTAACTATATATCATATAACATCATACGTCATATAGACTCATTCAAAATCATTTTATTTTTATCCCTCGCTTTAAAAAATAAATATTTTTATATATATTTAACATTCCACTTCTTTTATAAATTAGTTTATATTAATTATAAATAAAAAAATCTATTTTTTTTTATTTACTTGTATTATATGAAATTTTATTCTCTATAAAATAATATATATATTGCATATATTTTTTATTGTAATATAATTTTTAGAATATTTAAATATAAATTCTAAAAATTTGTAATCATATATATTAAATTTATCTTAAAACTATTAATATTATTAATCACATAAAAATTTAAAAAATAATATCATACCTCACTATTATTAATTAATTAAACATCATTTACTTTATCAGTAGTGAAAATGAAATCAATTGTTCCGAAAGAATACATAAAAATAATAATAATAATAATAATAAATTTAGAAATGAAAATCGACAATTCAAACAAAGGATTGTTGTGATACCCCCGAAATTATGTTGTTGCTTGGCCAACTCTCATATGTAGATGAGCCGGTATTAGACCATTCAAAGTTGATTAAAGATTAAATGGATTGCATATACTATTCAGGTTAATAATGTATACATTTCCTTTTAGGAGCAGCCTTATTGAAAAGAACTTTAAAGTTAAGCACGGTTGCCCTAGAGGAATTGGTGACCCCTGGAAAGTCTTGCAAGGAGCGTGTGAGTGAGGATAGAAACGCACCGGAAAAACTATGTTGACCTACGGGGCCAACCTAATCCTGACATGTAATCTAATCCTGACACGTTCGGCTTTAGGCCACTGTCAGCCACATTGGCGGAGCAGTGGCAGACGATGGCTTCCCAGTCTAGGATATTGTCGGCCACAATGGCAGACGGTGGCCGAGCTGTGGCAGACGGTGGCTGCCTAATCTAAGCAACTGTCAATCACAGGGCGCCCAGTGGCCGAGCACCGGGTATACGCTGTCTGAAAACGTCTAGGCCACCCTGACACGTCCCGTCACCCAACGTGCCTAGCGCTCAACCACGTCGTTACCCTAAGCCCGAGTGAAATTTGTACCAACGTCGTTCCAAATATTTGTTCATGCTATCATCTTTAGTTCCCTTCAAGTCATATCGATGTCGTACCGAAATGATGCCAACGTACCAAAATATTTTAACAAATTTATTTTTTCGGTTCGATAAAGGTTGGACACAACAATTTCCGATGTATTTCATCCATTCCTATGCCGGGCACCCGACGGTCCGACATGTCCCGATCGTCCGACGCCTATCACGGCCTGACTAGCAAGAAGCCAACACAGGAGGTAAATTCCCGTCTGCCACTGCTCGGCCACCGTCCCCCGGCTCGAGCGCTATCGTGCGACCCGTCGTCCAACATAATGTCGCCGACAACTAACCTTCCGAATCAACTAGCCCCGACGGTGGCCGCGCAGCTTAGCCACATTGGCGGAACAGTGGCAGACGGTGGCCGCGCAGTCTAGGCCACTTAGGCGGAGCAGTGGCAGACAGTGGCCGCCCAATCTAGGCCACATTGGTGGAGCAGTGGCCGACGGTGATTGCCCAGTCTAGGCCATTGTCAGCCACATTGGCAGAACAATAGCGGACAATGGCCGCCTAGTTTAGGCCACATTGGCAGAACAATAGCGGACAGTGGCCGCCTAGTTTAGGCCACATTGGCGGAGTCATGTCCCAACTCAAAATTCATTTATTTTTATATTTTTCTCAATAATTAAATGTTTTTATCTATATTTAAATATTATTTTTATATATAAAATTAGTTTTGAATTAATTATAAATAAATAAATATATTTTTTTATTTATTTGTATTATATAAAATTTTATTATTTATACAATGATATTCATATTGTATATATTTTATTTGAAATATAATCCTAAAAAATTTTATTATATATTAAATGATATCCATATTATATATATTTTATTTGAAATATAATTTTAAAATATTTAAAATACCATCAATACTACTCATGTAAAAAATGATAATATAATATCATAATTTACTATTAATAATTTTCTAATCTACACTATCTAAAATATAGTATCTCTAACAAAGTGTGGCACATGGTGGAACATTTTCTACTCCAAATAGTATAGATTAATTATTTAGATAGTAAAAATGAGTTATTTAATGATTTAAAAAAATTAAAGCATGTGTTTAAATATTCTTAACATTAAATTTCAATTAAATATATACAATACGAATATCATTTTGTAGAGAATAAAATTTTATATAATACAAATAAATAAAAATAACTACTTTTGTCCCGCAACGAGAACATCATTTGCTTTTTTTACGTAGAATTTTAAGTATTAATATTATATTAATTTGTAGTAAAAAAAATAAAAATGTCCTTATTAGTACGGTGTAATATAAATGTAATGGTATTTGTGTAATATATTTTTAAGCTGTAAGAGTATTTATTAGGTTACGTATGTATTGTAGAACAATTACTAAATTAAAAAATAATACCTTATTTTAATATGAACAAAAATAGAAAATAGTATTATTCTTACGGGACGGAAGGAGAGAATATATTTATTTATTTACTATTACCTTAAATTAATTTTATAAAAAACAACTGAGAGTTTTAAAAATAAATAAAAATATTTGTTAATTGACGAGAGATATAGAACAAAGGTTTTAAGTGAATACTTAAGTTAGAAATTTAATTAAATTATTTTAAATTTGTTAAATATATTTTAAGATTGTTAAATATATACTCACTCCGTCCACACACAAAGTAAACATTTATTTTCGATGCGGTATTTAAGAAATAATAGTATTTTAATTATAGTGGGTAGTTAAAAGTAGTAAAATGATATTTTTGTCCTTGTTTTTTTGGTGTAAAAGTAATGATGTGACGTAAAGTAAGGATATTTGTGGAAAAAAAATGAGGTATTTAATGAAATGTTTACTTTATAATTGGACGTCCCAAGATAGAAATATGTATACTTTTTAGCGGGACGGATGGAGTATTTAACAGAAATGAAAATAAGGAACGGACAGAAAAGGAAAATGAATCTAACGAAGGAGTACTATATTAGATTAGATTAGGGGCGTGTTTGGCAATTAGCTGATAACGGTTAGCTGTTAGCTGATTCAATTAGCTGGTTTGACTAGCTGATTTGATTAGCTATTTGTATTAAAATGTTTGTTAAAGCAACTGTTTGATATTAGCTGTTTATACGTAAAATGACAATTGATGATATTTCTATTTTATTTTTGTTTCTAATATATTCAATTATGTTCTTTTAAGTTTAGAATGTTTGAAGTTTTTTGTTATTAGTTATTGAAAATTGTAAAAGTATTATAAAAGTATTTATTTTTATTATAGTTAGATTTAAAAAATAATCTATTTTTATTGAAATATATAAATAGTTTTTTCTATTGAAAATGACGTAAAATATAAAATAATAAATTTTCCGTGTATATATTTATTATATTAGTTATCGATTAGTTCATTATATTTATAATTTTCAATAAATTTAATTTATTTTTAGTATAAAATTTATATAATGTAATTTTAATATGAAAATAAATTATTAATATTTATATTTTCTATTTTATTTATATTGATTTTAATAAATTTATATATTTTATAATTAAAATAATTTTTATATAAAAATTAATTATTTTAAATTTAAATAAAAGTAAAATAATAATATAATAAAATATTCTAATATAATTAATAAATAATTAAAATATATTTATTTGTGTAAAATGCATAATAAATTTTTAAGGACATATAAGGAATAAAAATTTTTTTACAGAAAAGCTATTTCAAAACGTTTGAATCCAAAAAGCTATTGAAAAAACTAATTTGCCAAACAGCTCTTAAAAAAGCTATTTGCCAAAAGCCTCCGGATATTGTTAGATTATGTTAGATTAAATTAGATAGTAATATTAATAATTATTATTAATAACATTAATAATAAAATTAGTTGAGGTAAGTGGGTGCTGCTAGGAGGTTATTAATAGGACTTTTTTCCATCTCTCGCCGCCACATTCATCGTTGTTCTTGGGAAGGTTTTTGGATTCCGAATACTGCTTCTTCAATTTGATTCCCGCGAAGATTTTCATAGTGTTCTTTGGAGGAACTCGGGCGTTGATAATTATTCCGAAGATTGATTGGATTGGACCCAATTTTGTTCGATTGAACGAACCCTAGGTGTCTCAGGTAAGCGCGCGGTTTATTGAAATTTGATTTTGGAATTTTGTTTGCCTGAATAATTCCGATTCAATTTACTGTTTCGTTTGCGCTTACGAGTTCGTGAGAGACCTTAGGGTTTCGTTGTTTGGATGCTATAATTGTTGTCTCTGTGTGGTTTAAGTCTAGAAAATTGAATTTTGGGGGCAAATCTGTTAGGGTTAAAATAACTTGATTATGAAGTGTTGTTGAATATGAGCGATGGAAGTGGGAAGAGCAGTGCAAAGATCTTGAATGGGAAAGGAAACTCCGAATCAAAGAGGGAACAAAGAAACGAATACCCTCAGGCTATTGCCAAAGTGGCTGTGGCTCAGGTTTGTAAGAGCTTAGGGTTTCAGGTCGTCCAGCAAACTGCATTGGAAACGCTGGCGGAAATTGGAACTCGGTACATTACAGAAGTCGGGAAAGTAGCTCAATCTTCTGCCAATTTGGCTAACAGGAGTGAGTGCAATGTGTTTGATGTGATTCAGGGGTTGGAGGATTTGGGATCTATACAAGGTTTTCCGGGTAGTTCGGATGTTAGCCATTCCCTTTCGCTGTCGGGAGTGATTGGGGACATGATTCGGTATGTCTTCAAAGCAGAGCAAATTCCGTTTGCGCACTCAGTGCCATCTTTTACATCTTTTCTGGTTGTTAAGAAGAGGAAAATCGGCACAACTTTTGCACGAGTAGAGGAAATTCGGTACGATAAACATATACCTCATTGGATGCCCAAGTTTTCTGATTGCAAGGCCTTTTTAAGTCCCGGAAAAGGGAATGCCTCGGATGTAGACATGGTTAGCAAAATTGACCTGTCGAATGGCCATCGTAAAAATCAGAAGAACTTTAACGGATCTAAAGAAGGCAGTGTGGAAGATTGGGGCTCGAGCAATCCCTTTCTTGCTAAGCCACTTCCGTTTGGAGTAATGGAGGTTTCTTTGCCTGTTGTCCCGAGTAAGCTTGTGGATGAGGATACGGAATACCATCGAAGTTGTGAAGTTACAGAGAATCTTGTTTTACAATCGGAGCCGTCTGCCAATGGAAGTGATAAGGGTAATGTTATATTGAATGGAAGGCCTGGTGTACATTTTAAGTTTAGGGAACCTAAAAAACTTGCCGGCATTGAGAAAATTTCTCTCTGGTTTGGCGACTATGAAGATGGAATTGATTAGAGGAGGATGAAACCGAGAGGGTTCTTTTGTGAAATACAAGGAGTCTAGCGAAAGCATGTCCTCGTCGGGTTAGATGTTTTAATTATCTAAGTGAATTTTTGTTCGATGTTTGTTCTTATTTGAGGGTAGAATCTCTCTGTGTTCTTATTTTTGATAAGCTCTTTAGGCAGGTAGTTTTTGGTTTATTTATCAAAGTTTTGTTATCGATATATATATATATTTCATGAATGGAATCAAAATCTCTGTTCTTGGTAGTTTCTTACATTCATTTGCTGCTTTTGGTTGCATAAATAATTTATAGTTGATTCATTGTTAAGACATTTTTCCAAAATTTTCAATCTGGCTTGAGTTCAGATGTATTGATATATAGCAAAGCTTTGTATTAGCGTAATACTTGAATCAATAAAAACTAATCTAATTCGAAAATATGGACAAAAAATAATTTAATTTGAATTAAAATTTTTTATTTTTAAAGGTCAACATAAGTCAACACAGTAATAAGCTGATTGTCAGTTTAAAATATTCAATCCGACACGAATTCCAGACACAAATCACCTCACTGCCGGCTCTATATATAATAACAAGTGGGGAGGAATGATATTTTGGTGAATTTTTCATAAATAAATTTTTTATTTTGTCATTTTAGTTTCTACAAATCAAATTTTTTTTAAGTAACTATCAACTAAATACTAAAATATATATATTTTTTACTTAATTTTTTACCTTTTTTTTGTATTTTAAAATTAGATATATATATATAAATCTAAATTTTAATATGAATATTTTTTAAGAATAATACTCTCTTCATCCACAAATTAATTTTCTTATTTGGAACATCCAATAACTATTTTTTTTTTTTTTTAATCAATTAAGGGACAAATTTGCCAATAAAAATACAATAACTAAAATACCATCCAGATATACTTTAGGAGGAAAAATTTTGGACATGATATGAAGTTTTTTAAAATTTAGTAAAAAATTGAATAAAATTGAGTGATTTTTGCATATAGATTTTTAAGTTAATATTTTTAATAAAAAATAAATATTTATTTTAGACAGATTAAAGTTTGTTTGCTAAAGCTTCACTTATAATTTGTACTATCCTTCAAAAGTGTTGAAAAATCATATCTACTTTTATTTTTGTATTTTGTTTAAATAGTAAATGCCTACACATTCAATGCAGAAAATAGAATATATGTGAACCCCATAAATTGATGTGTTACAAATAAATAAATAAATTAGTAAATCTAATCTAGGATATAAATATATTCATAAATTTATAGGACACAATAATATCTTTGCAAGTTTGAAAGCACAAACAAATTAAGTGCAAAAAATGCTATTCCCTAGCAACATTTATAAATCTATCAGATATTGTCAAGAACTTATAATACCTGTCCTGTCCGAGATCGTAGATAACTATCTCGACGAGGGTCGCTGTCTTGAGGTTGTGGAACGATGAATTTGGTCGAGTACTTTGGCATAAAATTCCCAGCACGGACTTTCTTCATCTATAGCTTTTACACCAAATGGGTGTTGTGCAACGAACATCTGCACATTTTCAGATTTCGCCAATTCTTCCAAATAAACTCGAATCTCACCCCCTGGGCCTGCAATGCCGAATAAATGATAAAATAATCGTCGCAGATCAAGAATAAAGAAAATTGTGTTTGAAACAGAGCAAAACAAATATTACCTAATGCATTGTCATTTTTATCCACATGGTGGTATGGAGACGGGAATATTCCTGTGTGGAGCTGAAACAAGACCCCGAATTTAAGAGAATGAAGAACCTCGACACAATTGAAAGATCTAGATCCTTCTAGAGACACAAGTAATAACAAAAGTATACCGGATTGAGCAAGGCCTTATACGGTGAATCGTCTACCAACAATGTGTTTGATTCATCATAAGCTCCCTTCTTCCAAGGCGAATTAGGATCCTTATTTTCCCAAACTTTCCGCAAATCCTTGCAAACCAGGGGCTTATGACGATTCTCAAGAGTTTTAAAACCAGTTTGCGTGCAATGTGACCTGTCCTGCATTATCAATTTGAGTTGATCATTATTGATCTAATACAAAATCGAGAAAATAAGGTCATAAGCATCAAACTAAAGCTCAATGATGTGTTATGTGGAAAGCTGCATCAACCCAGCTTGTCTCTGTGTAAATAAATCGTAAATGGTTAATATTTCTACACTTCAATATGCCAATTGTCGAGCATACAGACAATTTTTGTGCAAGTAGTATCGAAGTGATAAAGATGTGGAATCAGTAGTATAGAAGTGCTAAAAACTAACCGAAAATTCTATTCCATACAAAAAATACTTGGCAGGTTTATAGAAAGCTTACCCAACAAAACATTAATTTTTCTTGAAAATCGCCCAGTAAATACTTGACAATTCTACGAATGATGTCCCTGTATATTAAATATCAAATCCGTATTCCAAGATCAGCAACACAAGCTATAGAAGGCAGAACTAACTTGAAGAAGTTTCTAGAGATGTAGAACTATATGTTTTGGAGTTCGATCCTACAAAGAGAGAGAGTGAAGAGAAGCAAGAAGGAACACATGACATGAACAATGACATTTCAGAGAGTACCTGGATATTGATGACCATATGCCCACTTCAAAATTCCGAAAGCAAAACTTCAGAAAGTCGTCACAGAAGGGTCTCCGGCAAACTACAAAAGGGAAGCAATTAGCAGTCATATTCAATCAGATGATTTCATCCTATAGTTGGTATATATAAGTTTATATACAACATGAAACTCTAATCCTCACTTGCCCGCCCAGATATGCGTCTATCCCCTCTGCAATCTTTTAGGGGTGGTTTCACGACATCAGCAAGGAGACCATTTACATCAAGGACAAGAAGTTTTCTTCGAGCTGAAGGAACAGGAATATTAGGAGAATGATTTCCACTGGGAAAACACTTCATTCGCAGCTCCGAGAGCTGAGTTGGGGGTTCAAACGTCATTTCACCAGTCAACATTGATTCATGCTCATCTGGGCCCGGGGTCCTTTTCTTGCCTCTTCTTTTCCTTTTCCTAGTGGATATTGGATTACCTAAAGCAAAATTTCCAACTGCCATTGTACCCATTTGATTATTGTGCAAATTGACTTCATCTTTTATTGTTGCCTTTGTGCTGATCGTTTCATTTTTTATGCCAGATTCATTTCCTTCGGTGAGATTTTCTACTAAGCTTGTATCCATTGTAATCGGATCCATGCTTTGAACTTCATCTTTACCTTTTGTCTTCCTTCGCTTCTTCCTTTTCCGTTTGCCAGAGACAGTTCCTTCTGTGAGAATATCCATTGACTCCTCATGCATTTGAATCTGATTTGCACTTTCAGCTTTGCTTTTACTCTTTGCCTTTCGTTTCCTTTTCTTTTTCTTCATGCTTGTCACATCCCCTGCAGCAAGATTTTCGGTTACCCCAGTATCCAGTTTATGCTCTCCCATATTTCCGACTTCTTTAACTGTTGACTTCCCAACAATTCCATCCATCCCTTCTCTCCCAGTCACATTCCCTTTGGTGATATTTTCTGTTAGCGCTACATCTATTGTATTCTGCACCATGGTTTGGACGTCATTGCCAATTGTCATATTGTTGAGACTCTTTTTTCTCCTTTTCTTCTTCCGTTTTCTTTTGCCAGCTATATTTCTGTCAACAAGATTTTCCGTCGACTGTGCATCCATTTTACTCAGATCCATGCTTTGCACATCTACTTTACTTTCTGCCATCTCACTAATTCCAGGCTTCATTTTTGTTTCAATAGTTTCTTTTACTTCTAAAGGATATGCTGTAAAACCTGCACCTATTTTTCCCTGAACTGTGCCTTGAGCTTCATCTTTACTTGTAGTCTTCCTATTCCTCTTGTCATCTTTATTCTTCTCCTCTATGTGTTTCACTTTCGGTAAAATCTCCATCAACATTAGGATTTTTACCCAGCTACTCCACAATCTATCATTCTTTTCCCTGGCCAACCTCTTTGATCTTCTCTCCTTAGCCTTTTACTCCGCTCAGCATTGTCAGCATCTGGACTTTGCAACAAACATTTTTCCATGATTAATAATGTTTCAATTTCAGTCAAATGCATTTTAGGGCATGAACCATACAAATAGAATCAGAAAAAAGTCCATGTAGTAAGAATATATCACTGTTATGGCAATATTAAGAAATAGCCCCCAAACCTCAGATTGTAAAAGATCACTTCAACACACATGAGTGCATACTGTGATTAACCATAAACATAAATACAAAGCACAAATTCAGGGGAGCACACCTACTGATGTAGACAACAACAAATCCCGCATTTTTTGGATTATATTTTCCACCAAAACACAAAAAATGGTTATAGAAAAAGAAATTACACAGCTCACTATATAAAATAGGTTAAACTAAAAACAACCGTGAAAATTCTGTTGCCATGTTCTATGCCAGTGCAGTCTTAAGAGAAATATTCGAGCATTACCAAACCCGAGAAAGCAGTGCCAGAGACAGACAAGAACAAAGCAACAGAAGGAAAGCTCCACTTTTGAAATTAAGAATGATAACCTTCTCTCTTCTTGTTCATGTATATGTTTAGCAGTTGTTTTGACTTTCTCAGGCCATGGCAAGGGGGGATTGATCACAGAGCTCACCAACAAAGTAACTACTATTTCTTTAAGTCTATAAATCGCTGGCAAACTTAGTAACATCACCTAACATAATTTTTTTTCCATGCAAGAGGATAACAATAAAACCAGCATTCGTGAAAAATTACCAATCAACACAAGTACTCAACTCGGCAGGAGCCTCAAGTTTTCGTTCGTTTATACCAATCAACATGGACAACACATGTCTACCCTAAAATTTTACTAATGTACATATTTAAGGTTTTAGTTTTACATTGGAAGAATCTCTTACTCTGTGTAACTAAAGCATTTACCCTTGTGAGATTCAAATTGGTCCTAAAGCCTAAACCCTAAATTCCCCAGGATATCGCAGGATTTATCCCTAATTTTTACACACTGTGACCTTATATTCACATGGTGTATCTTTCCTTCTTCATATTCACAAGCACATTAACTCTAACTAGTCAAGCGAACAAAAACCCTCATTCCAACCATCATCAAAACAAACGAAACTGAACCAACCTTTTGCGAAGAAAAACACACCAAATATAAACAAAGCAAACTGCAGGACGTCATACATAGCGTTTATATATCAATACAAAGAAACTTCGAAGTGTAAAATTAGGAGTACATGGCCAGTAAAATGGCTCGTAGTTGTGTTACATTACAATGAAATGTTAGGAGCGCACCATGAACTGAGGCTACGGCGTCGCGTTGCCACGTTTGCGCAAGACTTTTGGCCGTTCGGAATTTTGACAGGTTTAGGGTTTTGACGAGTGTGCTGCTTTCGAATTCGAACCGACGACGAGAAATGGAAGAGAAGAGGAGATGGCAATGGTCGGGTATGGGTCGCCCGCCGGACCTTGACCCGACTCCAATAAATATTTTTAGATCCGAAACTTGAATAGGATCGAATCGGACCTAAGCTATACAAAATAAGATCCATGGATCGAGTAATCCGAAATACATTTGGTACAGATAATGGAAATGTAAAAAAATGATAGTAAAGAATATAATAGTAGAAGAGAAAATTTGAGTAGAAGATGAGAAAAAAATAATTAATTAGAGAATAAAAATTAATTTTTTATTTGATATAATAAAAAATTCATATTTGAAAATGTAAAAATGAGAATAAGCTATATTGCTGGCTAATTAAAAAAAAAAAAAATCATTTTCCTCTACCAAACATCTTCTTATCATTTTTATAAATCTAACTCAAAATTGAATTTTGCTCTTATTCGAATCCACCATATTTTAAAACTTATATGTTTTATTTAAAAATATTATAATAGAATTATAATAAATGAATAAAACTAAAATTATATTTTAAATATAATTATATTGTTAAAAATTATTGGGTTTGTTTGTTTAGTGTTTTGATTTGAAGAATCATGTTATATGAAGTATAGAAGAGTATATAGTTAATATATAAAATAATATATTAAATCGAATGTTGATTTCTACAAGAGTATAAAATATATATATTGGAATCGTGTCGAAAAAAATATTAGTATACGATATTCAACATATGTCCGATATGATATCAAAATAATTAAACTCGATTTTAAATAAATAAGTTGAATTCGAATCGAATCCAAGTCCATCCCTGGACTGGGTCATGAAAGCGACTGCATAGAGCCCAACCTAGGAAGGAGCCCATATTTCCAAGGCTTTTGGCTATTTCCAAGGCTTTTGGCATGCGCTACACTGCGTAACATAAAGTATCGTTATTTTATTATGATTTGTGTGATTTTCTATATTAAAAAGAATTAATATTGTCCGTGTCTAAAAATTAAAAAATGTGGTGAAAGAAATCAAAAGATGATTTTATATCTTTACAATATAACCTTCATTTACCAAACAACTAATGTCCAACCATCCAAAAGACTCTGGATCGACATTATACCAATCGGACATAATCATTGTCGGATCTTCGATCATGATCTCTTGAATGAAATAAAAGTATTAACTACAAGAAAAATAAACAAAAATTGAGGCCTTGTACAAAATTTAATCGGATACATTAAAGGTACTTTACGGCTGCTGAAAATAAAAAAGAATTAATTATAATTGATCTTTAAGATTGAAATCAAACTACAGCAGTTCAATATTCTATTGATAATTGTATATAGATCTAACTGGTCTTTCAAACTTCACATATTATAATAGATAATTTTAACACAAATATCAATTAAAAATGCACTACTTTGTACATTATCGGTTCATAACAATTGCTAGCATGACAAAGTAGTAATAAAACATCAACTAAAAACAACATATCTATTTCATTAAACTGAACTACGAATATACAATAAACAAAATTCAAGTGATATGATTACAGGGTATTAGGTTTGGTCGAGGGTTTATTCAGTGCGCATTTTCAAGTAACTGCGGATTCTCACGTTAAAAAAAAAATAAAAAATAAATAAATAATTGATTCAAACACCATATGTCATTACAAGCACATTAATTTTGGAATCAATAACAAATATGGGTTGGGGACAAAAGTGAATTCTAACTCTCGTGGTTCATGACAATATTATTGATGTGTTGAAGCAATGAGGATTAACTGCAAAGTTACTTGTTCAGGATATTTTTTAATTGGCGGCAATAATTGATCATCACGGAGTCTTATTTTATTGTTATATCTAAATTTCTTAAGGACAGTTCACATTGTCTCCAAGCACCCTTCTCGAAAAAAAGAGCATGGAGAAATAGAAAGCCTATCGACGTAAGTCCACGATCATCAACATTTTCCTGCAATTTTTCTTAAACCACCCTTTCAATGCTCCCCCACACCCTCTAAAAGATCGAGGGAATGATCGAATAAATCAATGCTTGATTTGATCTGTTTGATTCGTGAAAAGCGGAATCAACAATCGCTCTTCCTTCTATACTGTAGTCGTGGGAGAGGAAGAGGAAGAGGAAGAGAAAAATAAAAAAAATAAAAAAAAAAAAGGATTTGCTAGTTGGGAGATGAGAGAAATAAAATGTGACTATGACTGAATTGGAAGAGAAAGAGAATAAAAAAGTTTTTGTTTTCTTTACGGAATTGGTTGGGAGAAAGAGAAAAACAAAAAGAAGATTATTAATAATATAATATCAAGATTGTCAGTAATATATTTCTAATTTTTTTTTAATTAAAAAATATCTTTTGAAGTTAAGTATATTATTATAGTATACTTATTATGAATATTTAATATAAATTTATTTTACTAAAAAAGTCAAAAATGAAAAAATAAAATAAAATTAGTAAAGTTCTATTTTTCATATATATAGTTAAAGGAATGGATTAAATGTTGAAAACTTAAATTCAACACATCCGATGAATGCTTAAAATTTGTATTTTAAAATTTATATAATTAATTAATATAATTACACGTAATTATTTTTAAGACAATTTTTCCCCTGATCACACTCCTTAAATTCAGCATACCAACAAATTCGGAAGCGAGCCGAATTCCCCCATTACCCGCAAGAACAACCCGAAACTTCCCAAAAGTCTGGTCGATTTCGGCTGGCACCCAAATCCAATCACTCCCAATTCCGGTTGCACTTGAAAACCGTTCAACACTCAATCCCTAATCACTCAAAATTTTTGTGTACCCGATTTCACCAAATAAAATATTCCCTCCGTCCCAAATACCGTGTCTGCTACACTGTAGACACGGTATGTGGAACGGATAGAAACGACAATGTGGACGTGGTATTTGGGACGGAGGGAGTAGAAAATTTGTCCGAAATTGACTGTATGTGATTCGGTAACTAAAGACCGGATTTGGACGCTCCAGTCAAGGTTCCAGCCAAGGTTCCCCTTCTCGGAGATCGATGCTTCATTTGTTATGTTCAATTCTTTAATGGAAGAATCAACAATTGCTCCGTCCATAGTCGTAGGAGATTAGTTTGACTAAAGTGATATATTGGGCGAGGGGGAAAGAAGCGGTTGAACCAATAACCAAATTGATAAAGGCATGATGAAGAGAAAGAGAGGGAATGAGATTTGGTCAAAGTATATAAAAAAAGAGAATGTGTTGACTCAATTAGTGATACAAGAGAGAAAAAAAAATAAAAAATAAATAGAGAAAATGTTATATATAAATATATTTTGAGAGAGAAAACGAAAAAAAAAGATATGGATTGAACGAATTGGTCACCCGAGAGAATGAGAGAAATAGAATAAATGAATTATATAAATATTTTTTTTATAACGGTGCAAACAATCATTGTTTTAAAAAATCCATTTTTTTAAAAAAAATATTTTTTTATATTTTATATTTTTTAGTTTACTTTTTTTTATATTATTTAAATAATTATTCTCTATAAAATGATATATATAAATATACGTTGATACTGTTTTATATTTGTAATTTATTTTAAAAAGAAAAATATATGAACATAAAAAAAAGAAAAAAAGTAACATGTAAAATTAAAATATATATATATATATATATGAGGAAGCAATTAGGTGCAAATAACAAGTTCTCACTTAATTTGCATTTTTACTACCATCAACTTATAAAATAATAATTCTACATAAACATCTAAATAAGATCAAAGAAAGCCACTTACTAAGGGCATATAGACTTTTAAAATAGTCATTGGTACAAATATTTCATTTATAGGTGTTGTTGATATATATATATATATATAGGTGTTGTTGATATTAGTACTATATTAAAAAAATTGTATATATAAAAATAAAATAGAATTGTTAGAGATAAACAAAAAATTCTCAATCTATTTTAATGTCAAGGCCATTCGTCTCTCCCGAAGCTGTCGCTGCCGCCATCTATCATCAATTTAGCTACTTCAGCGTATACCATTGTAAAATAATACGATTCTTAGATTTTCACACTTGCCGTTGCAAGATATATACTATATAGCAATATGCTTATGAGTATTTTTATCACACAATTCATCTCTTCTATCAATTGAATTAATCAATTTCATAATTTATATTGTCTCTCATTTTTTTTCACACTTTCCACAATTCTTCTTCAAGTGATTTATAAATTTTATAAGTTTGTTTTTTAGTTTATTTAATACCTCCTAAATTCAATCCTAAGTGGCAATCTGATTGTGAATTTTCTTGTTTTTGTGGTGTGCTATTTTGACTGAGTATTTAAATAATATTTATCAATTCGTCCAGCTTAATAAAATTATCAAATATATTTTGGAATTTATGGTACCCGAATGGTTATATTTGTTTTTTTATATGATAATATTGATTTTGTTTTTTGCTTATTAAATTTATTAAAGTTCATCTTTATAATATTTTAGATGAAATTTGTTTCTTTATAATCTTAGATATTAGAATAATTTTGATAATTAAAAAAAAAAAAAAAGAACCAATAAGGAAATTAAATTTCACATTTCTTTTTAATAATATTTATAGACATTTTTCATATATTTATTACTTTAAAATTTTGAAAAATAGTGAAATTGAGTAACTAATCTATTCTAAATATAAAGATGAAATATATTATTTTTGTTGGAAATTATTTAAATATAATAATAATAAAAGTTACTTAACATATAATGAATTAAGTGATTGAAAATATTTTGGAGATAAATTTAAATCACATGAGAATAGTTTTGAACATATTATTAATATGAACACTTAAAATGAAGTAACAATAAGATTACCAAATAATTAAACAATTGATAAAAAATTGCAACGAGAAATTATGAATGAAAAAGACTATGTTGAACACAAGTTTTAATAAGAATTATTTATGTTGTCAAATATCGTGCTAAAAATGATTTAATTTTTCGATCATCAAATGCAAAACTTAATCATAGTAGTAATGACAATTTTTTAGGATTAATTGAAAT